AGGTTAAGAATTTGAGGGGACTGGAAAGATGGCTCAGTGGTTAAGATTACTGGTTGCTCTTCCAAAGGTTCTGAGTTCAATTCCCAACCATCTATAATGAGATCTAGTGCCCTCTTCTGGCCTGCAGGCATACATACAGGCAGACACTGTGTACTTAATAAGTAAATCTTAAAAAGAAGAAAAAGAAAAGAATTTGAAGAAGCCTGCAATCTCAGCACTTACAAAACAGGGATAGAAGGATAAGATTTCCAAGGTAATGTTCAACTATATAAGGAGCTCATGTCTAACCTGAGGCATATATGAAAAACATAAACAGCCAAGCCTCATAGTACACAACTTTAATCCCAGCACTCAAGAGGCAGAGACAGGTCAGACTGGTCAACAAAGTGAGTTTCTAGGACAACCAGGGTTGTTACAGAGAAACCCTGCCTCAAAAAAAAAAAAACAAAATTACATACAAGTATGGACGAATATTCACTTTTAATTAACCTCAGCACTCAAGAGGCAGAGGCAGATAGATCTATTTCTTTCAGTTTAAGGCCAGCCTTAGTCTACATAGTGAGTTCAAGGATATCCAGGGCTATGTAGAGACCATGTCTTTAAAAAAAAAAAAAAAATATGGAGAAGGGAAACAAAAAACTCTTCATCACCAATACCTCAAATTCAATTAGCTGATAACTCTTTTTTTGGTTAAGTTTTTTGAGTCAGAATATCAATCATGTGGCTCAGGGTGACCCTGAATTCCTAATTTTGAATGCACCTCTCCCCCAGGATTACAGTCACACACTCTTGAACTCTTGACACCTTTAATGCTTTTCATGATCAGGTTTTTTTCTTTTCATCCTTAACATAACCAAAGAATATCTTCCTTGTCACAAAGGAGCTAAAGCCTAGAGAGATGAAGAATGTAACAAGGTAATAAGTACACAAGCCTCGAGTCCAATTCTAAACCCAGACGACAAAATCCTAACTTCTCCACAGTCCTGTCATCCCACCCCAATAAGTGACCACCATAACCACAGGTTCCACATTCTGAAGTTCAATTGGGAAGGTATAGTGTGAATCCCAGCACTAAGGCCAGCTGGTCTACACAGAAACTTCGAAGAGAGCCAGGGCTACATAGTAAGACCTTGTCTCAAAAAAAGCTTTAACAGAAGATAAAAATACTGAACATGTAGACTGTTCACTGGTTACTCAATGCCAAATCCTCCTGATACATTGAATACACCTATTAGGCATTGTGAACAACCTGGAGATGAAGAAGGGCCTACCTTACATGCAAATGTGACACTACTACAAATGGGACTTAAGAGCCTACAGACTATTTTCCTGGGTCTTGAACTGATCCCCTATAGATACCAAAAGATTACTGCACTACTAGTGTTTTTTATCTGTGGTTGACAATGTAATAGGGAACTATAAAAGTAGCTTTCAGTATTATGGTCAAACATAGTCAAATATTTCAGTACAGAAAACCATTCCAAAATACACAGGTATCAAGAGCAAACTTTTTATGAGATTTTGTGTTTTATGCACTAGCATTAAGTCACAAACATTTCTTACTATAGGATATAATAAAACCTACTGGCCAGGCAGTGGTGGGGCATGCCTTTAATCTCAGCTTGGAGGGGCAGAGGCAGGCAGATTCCTGTGAGTTCAAGGCCAGCCTGGTCTACAAAGCTAGTTCCAGGAAAGCTAGGACTGTTGCTACACAGGGAAACCTTGTCTCAAAAAAACAAAAATAAAATAAAACCACCTGGGAATAGTTTTCTACTTTTTTAGACCCCAACAAGTAAGTTTATCTGATATATTTTGAGCCACCTTTTACTCTTTTACTTCCTACTCTTCAAGAACCATTAGGTGATTCACACCTTTAATCACAGCACCCAGGAGGCAAGCAGAGGCAGGCAGATCTCTTTTGAGTTCAAGGTCTACAGAGTGAGTCCCAGGACAACAGGAGCTGTTACATAGAAACCCTCTCAAACCACCCCCAACCCATACACAAAACAAAACAAAATACCCTTCTATTCATAAAATGTTCTGTGGATGTCAATCAACCACTGTCCCAAAACTGGACATATTCTAACCTTAGCAAAGTGAACCTGTCAATTGGCATATAAAACCAGCCATTTTTTACTTATTAGTTGTCCATTTAAAAGCAAAAACTCTCAGAAACTGTCTTTACATGAACTTAAAAAAATTATTAGATAGCTAGGCATAGTGGTGAAAACCTTTAAACGAGGCACTCAGGAAGGCATCAACAGACAGCTGTGTTTAAGGCTAATCTGGTCTACACAGTGAGGTCTACACAGCCAGAGCTATGTAGTGAGAACCAGTCTCAAAACAAACAAACAAAAACAAAACAATAACAATAATAATAACTGCATTCATTGGAAGGGGTGCACAGTGCTATGGCTCCCATGTATGGAGGTCAGAGGACAGCTTCTCTCCTCCTACTATGTGAATCCCAGTAATCAAATTCAGGTAGTCAGACTTAATAGCAAGTGTTTCAACCAGCTATGTCATCTCTCTGGCCTTTTCATATGAACTTTAAATATCAGCAACATTTGGGGGTCTACTGTACCTCACGAAAGACTACTTGGTAGGACCAGACCAGTGTATTTCTTGCTTTTTGCAAGTGGCAAGCCTCAACTCAAAAGTTCAATTTAGTAGCCAAGAGGTGGTGGCACACACTTTTAATCCCAGCACTTGTGAGGCAGAGGCAGGGGGATCTCTGTGAGTTTAAGGCCAGCCTGGCCTACAGAGACAGTTCCAAGAGAGCTAGGACTGTCACACTGAGAAACCCTGTCTTGAAAAACAGAAAACAAAAGAAGTTCAACTTAAACACCAAAAACACATCAACATACAGATGAGATCTTTGAAACACAACTTTTTTCTTTTTTCTTTTTTTTTTTTGGGGGGGGGGCATGGTTTAAGACAAGGTTTCTCTGTGTAGCTTTGGCTGACCTGGAACTTGCTCAATCTCAGAGAGCCACCTGCCTCTGCCTCCTGAGTGCTGGAATTAAAGGCACCGCCACTAATGTCTAGCAGAGCACAACTTTTGTGAAGCATATAAGACTGGATATGACACCAGTGCAGGCCAGCGATCCCATCATCAGGGAGGCTGGGACAAGAAAATCTTGAGTTGGAGCCCAGCCTGGCTATGTAGTGAAATTATAAGGAGTCAGTTTCAAAAGGAAAACCCTAAAAAATAAAAAATTTAAGAATCACCAGTCTCAGACTGATGACGGTGGCACTGGACTATAATCCCAACATTCAGAAGACAGAGGCAGGTGATCTCTGTGAGTTCCCAGCCAAACTAGTCTACTGAGTGAGATCCAGGACAGCCAGGTCTACACACAGACACCGTCTCAAAAAGATAAAGCAAAACATGACTGACCCACACCACATTGGCCATTTTAAAATAGTAACTTCAAAGAACTTAAGACATACAAAAGTACTAACACACAACATTCTTCAATGAACCAATAAGTATAGGCTTCCTTTTTCAACATTTATACAGCAACTAAAGTGAAATTGGATTTAAAATTCTGAACAGAGTTGCAGGGAGTGAAGTTAAACTACAAGAAGCTGCCAGATGAAAGAAGTTTTTTCCCCATCAGCTGGAAAAAAACGTATTATATAAAGATGGATTAATGTCCTACTGAAGTCACCAGCGGCAAACGCCGTTTAATCCTAGAAATTCTGTGTAAATAGGTAGTTTGCACAACGATTCTTTTCCCAATGGTTACGAAAATCAACCCTGACTTTGGGGCATTAAGACTGTTAACGGGTAGAACTCTATGTAAATGCTTAATAAGTTGACTGGCTCTAGGACACTTTGGGTTTGACAGTTCACTGGACCCTACCGGATGATTCTTTCCAAGCCGTCTTCTTCCTTTAATTACCAAAGTCTAGAGAATATGAACATTTTACTCAACATACACGGCAAACAATCGACGTTTAAAGGTCAAAGGGGACCCGTTTTTAACCTTCCCTCAACACGTGTTCAGCACAAACTTCCGGGTGCGGCTACAATTGGCTGCGCAATTCAATGGATTAAAACGATGCTTTCTTGGGCTCTCATTTTATCTCCAAGCTTCCCCCCTCGAGCACGTTTCTCAAACAGCGACTCCCCCAAACAAAAGCATCCCACAGTAAACGGAGCAGTCACATAAAAAGAGCTTTCTATATGGGAGCATCCAGTTAGTGGTCCGAAAACATTGACCAAACTGAAGCACAAAGCCGGGACAGAAAGGGGAGGAGCTGGATGCCGGGGTCAGTAAAGCAACAATCACACTGGTTCCGACAAATCCAAGGCTTCGAAGCTGTGGAGCCCATCCCACGCCACTCCCGGGAAAACACCAGCAAACACCGCTTTGAGGAACTTGGGTGCTCACCACATCTAACACTGCTAAGGTGAGCAGATGCCCAACCGCCATCGCCCTCCTCATGGACTGGCTCGGAGTCTAAAGCTGCACTCACTTCAGGGAAAGCTAAACCCTCCACGGCGAGGCGTGAAGGTGTCCCCCCCCACGTGTCCCACGCACCCCACTCGCCAGGAACCGAGGCCCAAGAAGGGTGTCCCGGTGCCTCCCTCCCGATCCCGGAATCGGGAGCAACAGCTCGGAGGAGCCCGAGCAGGGTCTCCGCCTCACTTTCGATGCCCGTCTCGGGTCTGTGAGGAGGGAGAAAGCGAAGCAGGCGATGCCCCGTGGAGCCGGCGTGCGCAGGGCAGGGTTGCCCGGCCTCGGAGCTGCTATCCGGCTCGGGACAGCGGGACTCCCACAGAGCCGGCGCTGCCTGGCGGAGAACGCCGGAACCAACGGGGCGGCCGGCGATTTGAGAGCCGGCAGCGGGCGAGAGAGGCCCAGACAGCCGGGAAGTGGCCGCCTCCCCCCACAACCGGCCCCACACGGACCCCGAGGAGCGCCGGTGGGAGTGGGAGGCTGTTCGGACGGACGAGCGTGGAAGGAGAAAGGGCTGAGGGAAGGACTTACTTTCCCCGGCAGACCCGACGCCAGAACAGCTTCTTCCGGTCGGTGAGGGCGTGAGGAACCGGAGGCAACAGGAGCGGAGGCGGCGGCGGCGGCGGAGGTGGCGGCGGCAGAAGCAGCGTCCGGCTCTGCCTACCTCCCCGCCGCCATCTTGACGCCCCTCCTCCCGACCCCCCGCCCCGCAGGAAGAGGGGGCGGGGCGACGGGTCAGGTGCCGCGCGCACGCAGCGCGCGCCACGCCCCACGTGACTTCCCCACCCCACCCCCACCCCGTCTCTTTTCCGCCCCGCCTCCTTCCTAGGTGAAGGAAGCTGAGGCCCCCCCCATCCTGGCCGCCCCCTCTGCCGTCGCCACCAAAACCGGACTCCGCCAAGTCCCGCTCCCCTGGTACCGTTAATGGGATCCAAGAAAATTCCGGAACCCAAACGGTCCATTACCGCGGCTCCAGGGTGGGAGAAGGGTGAGGGGGCCGGGTTTCCGAGAAGGGGGAGGGGGCAAGCAAAGGCGGCCTAGGACAGTCACGTGTCCGACGCTTCCGCCGCCGCTAGCTGAGACCTCGCGAGAATACCGTTTCCCCACCCGGTCTGCTGCTCCGCGGGCTGTCGGGAAGAAGGTCGCCTTCTCCTGGGTGCCACCAGGAGGTCAGCCTGTGTGTCTACGCACATGCGCCCCACACCTGCAGTCGTAGTCCGGGCTAGTGGGGCCTCACATCTATTTTCAGAATCTTGGCATTGGATAAAAATCCGTGGAGCCCTTGCAGGGTTTCTGTCACTTGACGGGCTCTTCATTGAGCATACTAGAAAAAAATATTAACGTAGTCATTTCTTTGAAGCTCCTTTGAGCTTTATTGAACTTCATTGACTCGAAAACCGCAGCGAGCCCCTGGGCTCGTCCCTGGTCATTATCTCATGTAGAACAGAGCTGGAGGGTCCCGATTGTAGACTCTTCACACATACCCAGACACCTGCATCCACCATTACTCTCCATTAACGATTGCTGCATACCAGGGCTTATCCTGTGGCGTTTCCCTTGTTAATTTGCATTTTTTTCTTTTTAATTTTCATTATTCGTAAATGGCCTAACAGACTAACACATTAACTTCTTGGACACCCTTTTGTAAAGTCTTTCTGAGAATGCGGCTTGACTCTGTTACTTAGGTGATAGGCACACCTGGACGATTCTTATCCACCCCACTTGACATTTACCATCTTGTTTGCCCTGTGCTGAAAACAAACCGTACACTATTGTTTTGACAGTTGAGGTTAAGGTATGTAAACTCAGCCAGACAAAGGTGATGCACGGCTTTAATCTCAGCACTTGGAAGCAGAGGCAGGCTGATCTCTGAGTTCGAGGCCAGCCTGGTCTACAGAGAAACTCTAGCACTGGCTACAGACAGAAAAATGTGTGAGCTCTTCCAGACAATTATGGGCATGTGTTCTCATTTGCTTTTCTGTTGCTATGATAAAACAATCATCAAAAACGACTAGGAGAAGAAAGGGTTTATTTCATCTTACATTTTATAGTCCATCAAGGCCAAGGCAGTTTCTGGAAGCAGAAACTGAAGCATAGATTATAGAGGAGTTTAACTGCTTACTGGCTTGCTTTCTTCTACAGCCCAGACCCACAGTGGGTTGGGCTCTCCTGCACCAATTAAGAAAATGCCCCCACAGAGTTCCTCATAGATCACTCTGCTGAAGGCAATTCCTCAACTGAGATTGTCCTTTTGCTAAGTATATCTAGGTTTAGGTCAAGTTAGCAAAAACTATGGCTGTGGGGAATGTACATATAGCAATAATATTTATTCTGACTTTGTATGCAAACATTTGTATTATATCTGAGTATTTGTTTTCTTTGTTTGGCTTTTGGGTTTTTGAGACAGGGTTTCACAGTGTAGCTGTGGCTGGCCTCAAACTCAGAGATTCCCCTGCCTCTGCCTCCCAAGTGCGGGGATTACAGGTGTGTGCCACCACTGCCACACCACTATATTTGTGTTCTGATCTATAAGAACTGAAGAGTTCTAAGGCCAGGTACGATAGCAAAAACCAGCACTCAGAGAAGCCAACACAGGTTCTCTAAAAGAGTAACAAGTGCATTTAACCACTACAATTCTCTAGCCCCTCAATGTTTTCTTAATATAAACCCTTTTGTAGCCCATGGTGGTGACATGCCTTTAATTCCAGTACTGGGAGACACAGGTCAGATCTCTGAGTTTGAGTCCAAGGTGGTCTACCAAGCAAGTTACATGATAGCAAGAACTACACAGAACATACACCTGTCTGGTGTATGTATGTGTGTTTGTGTGTGCATCCATTTGTAATTGACTTAGGAATTGTACATATTACAAAGTACCTTGTGACATGCAGTATATGTATACACTGTACAATTATCAGGGTATGGTAAGAACGTAGCTGCAGGCATTTCTTGTCTGTTGTCTCCCTAACTTCCTCACATTTGATCATTATGTCATCCATAGTTAACCCACTGTGTTATAGAACATTTTGAGCTTTGAGCCTGTCCAGCTGCACCGAGTCCTGATAATAATCCTTTCCCCAGCCTCTCCTTACCCACACTCTTGTCCAGCTCTGCTAGCCCATATTCTTGCCTGTGTATGAATATGTAGTGCTGAGACTGACCTGAGTGGGCCCTTACACATTCATGCTAAGCACACCACGCTGAGCTGTTCCTCCAGCCCTAGTTTTACTTGTTGTTTTCTGTTGTGTGTGTGTGTTTTTTTTTTTTGGGGGGGGGTGGCCTTTTTCAAGACAGGCTTTCTCTGTGTAGCCCTGGCTGTCCTGGAACTCACTCTGTACACTACACTGGCCTTTAACTCACAGAGATCCATCTATCTGCCTCTGCCTCCCAAGTGCTAGGATTAAAGGCATGGGCCACCACTGACCAGTTAAGATTCATTATTTTTAATTATGTTTACTGAGGGGGGACTAATATGCACAGAGTGTAAGTGCCTTCAGAGGCATCAGAACTTCAGGAGCTGGAGTTGTAAGTCATTGTGAGATGCCTGACATAGGTACTAGGAATTCCTCTCTGGGAAAGCCGTGTATGCTTCTAAACACTGAACCATATCTCCAGTCCCCCTCTTTTTACAAAAACTTCAGACGAGTTTTCACTAAGTATGACAGGTTAACTCCTGCCTCTGTCTGCCAAGTCATTCTCCTTTATATTTGAAGATAAGGTTTCAGTAACCTGCACTTGCTGGCATTGAACTCAAGTTCAGGTAGGCCTTGAACTTGCAATCCCTTTCTCCATCAAGCTAAGTAGGTGCAATGACAGGCTCACACCAACCAAACCTGGCTCTGTACTTCTGTACATTTTCAAAACAGGGTTTCTAGTCCTGTCTGTCCTGGAACTCATAGAGATCTGTTTGCCTCTGTTTCCCAAATGCTGGGATTAAGGCCACATGTGCCACCATGCCAGTGGCTCTGTGTTCCTTCAGGTCAGCTTGTGTATGAATGAGAACACATGGCATTCATCGTTGTGTGCCTCAACGGTTTCATTTCCAGTAATGTCTTCCAGTTTGTCTCATGTTGCCTCAAATGGCGTAAGTGCAATCTTTTTTTTTTTTTAGTATTTTTCATTCTTTTTTTTTTTTTTTTAAGACTTATTTATTTATTATGCCATGTTCTGCCTGCATATATCCCTGCAGGCCTGAAGAGGGCACCAGAGCACCAGATCTCATTACATATGGTTGTGAGCCACAATGTGGTTGCTGGGAATTGAACTCAAGACCTCTGGAAGAACAGACAGTGCTCTTAACCTCTGAGCCATCTCACCAGCCCAAGGGCAATCCTTTTATGGCTGAATAGATTCCTTTTGTTTTGTTTTTTTAGACAGTAATTCAAATTGCCTAGGTTGTTCCTTGTATCCATGGGTGGCCTTGAACTCTTAATCCAATGGCCTCCCCCTCCCAGGTGGCAGAGATAGCGGGTATGTACCCCTTCACTAGATTACACCATGTTTTCATTGTCCATTCATCCACTGATGAACCCCTAATTTAATTCCACATCTTGGATTTAGTTAATAGTAACATAATGAGCATGCCAGTGCAGATGTCTAGTCAAAAGACTTCAGTTCCTTTGTCTAGATCCCTGCTCATGGACTTGGTAGGCCTTAGGATTGTACTGTTCCTACTTTTTTGAGGTACCTCCATACTTAGGTAGACTCACATAATGTCTGTATGGATTTATATTCCCATCAACAGTAAGTGAAATATGTAGATTAGATTGACTGTGGTGGAAACCCACATTAGATATGGGCTTCGCCATTCCATTGGCTGAGGTCCTCCTGGATCATGTTGAAGAAAAAAAGCTACTATGCAAAAACACTCATCGGTTTCTGCTACCTGACTGTGCATGCAGTGTGACTGGCCAATAAGCCTCCTGCTCCTGCTGCCATACCCTACAGTGATGAAATACATCTCTGCCAACTGTGAGCCACAGTCAACCCTTTCTCCCAAAACTTGCTTCTTATTGGGTATTTTGTCACAGTGTCCAAAACAAGTCCCTTTCCCTGTACCCTTACCAGCATTGTAATTGTTTTTTGTTTGTTTGCTTGGTTGGTTGGTTTTTTGTTTGTTTGTTTGTTTTTGTTTTCGAGACAGAGTTTCTCTGTGGCTTTGGAACCTGTCCTAGAACTAGCTCTGTAGACCAAAGTGGCCTTGAACTCACAGAGATCCACCTGCCTCTGCCTCCCGAGTGCCAGGATTAAAGGCATGTGCCACCAACTCCTGGCTTGTTTTTTTTTTTTTTTTTTTTTTTTTTTTTTTTTTTTGACAAAGGGTTTCTCTGTGTATGCCTGGCTGTCCTGGAACTCAATAAACCAGGCTGACCTCAAACTCAAGAGATCCACCTGCTTGTGTGCTTCCTGAGTGCTGGGATTTAAGGTGTGCACTGCCATGGCATGCCTGCTTGTAATTATTTTGTTTTTTCTATAGTAGCCTTTCATACTGGGGTGAGATGACATTTGTACTTTGAATTTGTATTTCCCTTGCACTGTGATTGAGCATTTTTATTTTTATTTGTTTATTTATTTATTTATTTTTACATATCTGTTGCCCTTGAGCTTGAAGAAATCCACCTGCCTCCGGAAGTGGAGGAATTAAAAGCCTGGCTACCACCACACAGATCACTTTTTAAGGAACAGGAGTGGTGGCACATGC